CTGTTCTCTCTGCCTGGAAGACTCTTCTTTCTCTATTATAAACATTTTACCATATTTTCCTCTTTCCTGCACCTGGCTAATTCCTACTCAGCCTTTGAGGTTTAATTTCAATACCACTTCCTCTGGGAGTCTTTCCTGACACCAAAATTAGGTTAAGTCCCCTAATATTGTCCCTTAAATACACCTGATCATGACACTCATCAGGCTTTTTCTCCCATTTACTTAATTGTCTATAATCCTCTTTAATCATTAAGCTCCATGAAAGCCTATGACTATCTTTTAACTCTGACATCCTCAGTGGTCAGCAAAGTGTCTGGCACATAGTAGGCACTCAATAAACATCTGTGGAAAGAATGAATGAATGAGCATGTACTTGATAAGTTTTTTTTCCCTGGAAAAGAAAAATTAAATGCTTAGCAAAATCTGATATGTAGGCGATGAAGTTAAAATGAAGAAGGGAGAAACAAGGAAAGAATTACGTGTTCCGAAAAAAAGGCAGAGTAAAATGTGACACATTGTCGTATCCTTTATTATATTCCAGTCCTTCCTTAAATATGTAATAATTTGACAGATCTTACCAATAGTAGCATCCTATTTTCATGTATTCCCAACACATGGCCTATTTTGTTAAACAAACAAAAAAAAGGTTATAAAAATGTCATTCATCACATTCAGGATAGTGTTGCTGTTTGCCAGATTTATGGCATCTGAATAACATAGAAAGGAAATCCTCAAAGTCAGGGGTATACTCTTTCCAGGCCCACTTACTGTATTCTAAACATTTTTAACTCAATTTTACATTTTCAAGTGGATCAATTTTTCATTTCAGCCCAAAGGTCCCTGTCTGTTTCTGAGATTTGGAACATCTGCTAGGGAAGTGAAAAGTGAAACAATTTTTTAAAGATCAAGTCATGAAAAAAAAATCTTTGTTGAAGGACTGTGGATTTTCAATTTGTTCCACATGAGACTATTTCAGGAAATTACCTTTTAACTGGTGCTCATCTTGTTTGTGTAGTAATATTCCCCTGATAGGGATGGACTGTGATCTAAAAGATTTTTACAATACAAAAATTCTACTAGTTTGTCTTCCAAGGACAATATCCAGGTTTCTAGTTGTTTGCCATCTCAGAGCTTCTTTCTTTACCTATGTGGGAGATCAGATATTTTTCAGTTTCTAAATTAAGTCATAATTAAGGCAAAACTATGCTTTCCTGGGAACAAACTTTATAGAAGGTTACTTAGAAAGGTTTTTAATTGTCGGACATAGGTCAAGGAGGGTGCTAGGAAAAACTTGCAAAAATGGGTTGGCTTAACATGTATTACCCATATCTGTCCTCCCATCTTCTTCCCTGATCCTGGTCTCTCTGTGGGCTGGAAACTCCCACCATTAGTCATTCACTGGCTTAATGCTCTAACTTTCTATGTTCAGTGGAGCTTTAGAAGTCTAGTGGTGGGACTTTGGGAAATGAAAGATTGCAGGGACTGAACGATAGGCTTAAAGGTCACATCCAGAGACCCCATCTCCTGTCAAGTAGAGGTTTTTTCTTTCCTCCTCTTCTTCTTCTTCTTCTTCTTCTTTTTTTTTTTTTTTGGTATGTTGCCAAACCACAGAATATTTTTGGAAAAAGTGTTCTGCTGCTAATTTTTGAAAAAGATTCACTTTAAAATTCATGTGGAAGGATACAAGTTCAAAAATAGCTAATATATTTCTGAAAAGAAGGTGAGATAAGATAGAGGAAATAACTCTCCCAGGTATGCGATGACTTATTAGCCATTGTAATTTAAACAATGTGAATTGGCATTGGAAGAAAAGATCAACGGAATAGAATAGAGGGTTCAGAAATAGACTCACAAATATATAAGAAATATATAAGAAAAATTGTTATATGAGAGTAAGAACATTGCAAATCCTTGAGGAAAGAATGGAATATTTAATAAATGCATGTGTGACAACATGCATGTGTCCATCTAAATGGGAAAAACAATTCCATCTCTACACCATGGCATACCCACACAGAGTTACAGTTGAATTTCCATCAACACCCCTGGAAAAACAGTGCAAAACTCTAGCTCTTTAGTGTTCTGCAGTGGCCCAGTTCTAGATAAAGGTGAGAATGGCTGACCTGACAGAGAACTGCCAGGACTCCACTCAGCCAAGCAGGCAAAAAAACTTCCAGGGACAATGGTACTGCTTCTAGAGTGCTGATACAAGGCTGAGAACCTAAGGCTACATTGAGACCCCAAAGGAAATAGTGCCAATAATGCTATAGATCTCAGTTTGATTGACACTGACTCCCCATCCTTGTCAACATTAGGGTGAACAAAGAAAGATTCATGCATTCTCTCCTTTCTTATTCCAAACCCCTTGAGCACTCCTAGTCTTGGGAGAGGAAGTATATAGAGATTAGGAGTTTGTTTAGGAATAATCCAAATCTGGGTTTGAATTCTGGATTTGACCCTTACTTTTCATATGACCTGGAGACAATAGTAGCACCTAAATTTCCTAGGGTTACTCTAAGAATTAAGTAAGGTAAAATACATAAAAAGCATAGCACAGTGTCTGGTATGAATAAGTGCTCCACAAATTGGTGAAATTATTATTTACCTTTCTCCCTATATTACACATTTTAATATTTCTTGTCTCTCTCCTTCTTCAAATTTAATTTATATTTATTGAGAACATCTACTGCATACCAGACCTTGTCCCAGGTACTTTTACACATTTCATTTCATTGAATCCTTATAAGAACCCATGAGATAGGTGGTATTATTTCCATTTAACAGTTATTCACATGTGTGTGTTTTCTCTTTGATGAAACTATAAATTAGTGTTTTCCAAACTATGCTAAAGAGAAAGGCAAACTAAACCAATTTCTGTACTGTAGCACTTCTCAGAGTTGTTGCTAATTTCCAGAAAGAAGTATTACTTAACATATTTGATAACCAAAACAGTTCTTAGAGGTTTTCTCAGAATATATCTTGGGAAAATGTTCAATAAAGATGCACTGAATAAAGGTATCCAGTTTTATGCTTTTTACATGCCTACAGTGGATGGCATATCTTGGGTACTGGCAAAGTGTTTAATAAATTCTGGTTGCTTGATTTATGCACTACATTACTTAGATCTTTGCACACCAGTGGGCTAAGATGGAGAGCTGCTTTTCCATCTGAAAATGAGCCTATAGCCTTAAATGTCCTCAAATTAAAGATGTCTGGGATCAAATCTGGGTGACAATGTGGATCAACAGAAAGACTTGAACACTGGAGGCAGGAAAGTAAAATGGTATGGCCCCTTTGGAAAACAGTTTGGCAGATTCTTATAAAGTTAAATACATACTTACCATATGACCCAACAATCCCACTCCTAGGTATTTACTCAAGTGAAATAAAACTGAAACTGGAAACAACCCAAATGTCCCTCACCTGGTGAATGCATAAACAAACTGCGATGCATTCATACAACGTAATACTTCTCAACACTAAAAAGAACTGAACTACTGATGCATAAAACTACATGGAGGAGTCTCACATACACCATGCTAAATGAAATAAGTCAGATGCAAAAGGCTACATACTATCGCATTCCATTTGTACATAATTCTGCCGGACAACACTATTGGGATACACCAGTGTTTTTACTATGACTTAAGGTGAGGGAAGAGGTTGATTACAAAGTGACACATGAATTTACTAAGGTGATGAAAATGTTCTACTAACACATTAACTGCCATGTGAGTTGTATATAACTCACGCTAGTTTTGAGCCCAGGGCCCTGTGAAGTATATGTAACTCACACATCTCTTTATTTTGGGAACCACATGGTGTGCAGGCAACTCAGGCTGCCATGTTGTAGGGTGCATCTTACGTGATGGGTGGCCCCCTGGACAAAACCCTGAAGTTGGTTGGAAAATCTTACTTGTTGATGTTATTATTATTGCAATTAATGTTTACAATTTAATCACATATAACTCACACACAAAATTTTCATTACATTAGAAAGTATCATTTTGTTTTCAAAGTTTTTATTCTATTTTTACAATAAAATATCACTGCCCCAAGGAAAAACCATTTTTTTCTAGTGTGGCAGTCAATGTGTTAAGAGATTGTGGTTGTAGTCACATGACTATGCATTCTTTTAAAACTTGGGACACTTATACACTCAAAAGATAAAATTTATAGTATGTGAATTATAACTTAATTTTTAAAATGGGGGAACTCACCCTCAAAATTGTCTATAAGCTTATTTTACTTCTAAAGCCAAAAAAATTAATACATACCATTTAAACACTTTCTCTAAAATCGCAAGGAATATACCATTGTAACCTCCTAAGATGGCTGTTGCTCATATTTCTTGCAAATTCCTTTCCCTGGCACTAATAAGCTTTACCTTGTATTCAAGTGGTTTCCAAACCATTACTTGCCCTGGAGACAATTACATCTACTACCACTTCTACAAAACTTACCACATACTACCTTATATTGCAGTTCTTTCTTTATATCTTGTCTTCTCTAGATTATAAAGTCCAGATAATAAAGAATCATACCTTGCCTGTATATGCTACATTGCCCATTAAAATGCCTGGCAGGAGTGCTATAAATAATGTTGAACAAATAAATTAATCTATGCTTAGGTAATAGCTTCAACTCTATGAGTCCTTCAAAGACGGTGAGCTCCTTGAAGACCGGGATTGTGCATACAAAATCTTGGACTGCACTTGACAGTCATTGTAAATGCTCAAGAAATTTTTCAAATAATATTGAGTAAATGGATTCCAGGAGATTATGGTTATGATTGATTTTGCTTTGGATGATGCATGGTGCAGAAACCGACTATTGGGGGCAAAGCTGTGGTCTTGTGAGAGAGTTCATTGAAAAGAAGAAAAGTGTACCCTGGGCCACTTCTTGGAAAACCTGGTGACAGAGGGTAAATGTGCAGCCCTCCAGGTTGCATTGGCTAGGTTTCATCTCTTATCAAGAGCTTTTTTTTTTTTTTTTTTCAGAGAGCTCTTGGAAGAGAGATACTCAATTTGGATCCAGTTAGAATTACTAACACGGGATGGGCTGCAACACGGCAGGTTTCCAATTGTGTTTCTTAGGCTTGAAACTGTTCCCAGAAGCAAAGACGATGAAGGCTTCATTTGTTTGGCATGAAAATAAAATAAAAAAAACCAAAACACCACTTTACAAAGGGGTTTAAGGCAAATCTTTTCTTCCCTATTATTCTTATCCCCCATCCCCTACTGTTGGCTAATCCTTGAATTTTAAGCTCTTTTGGGAAAGAGCAATATTTTTTATAACTATTTTTCCTAAACCAGACTAAGTGGAAGCATTGAATCTATTTTATTTGATGCATTTAATAAGGTTTTAATTGTAATAATTACAGTTAAATAGTTCAACATCCCAAACATCCTAGTACTTTAGGTGGCCTGGGGAAATGGATCTCATAAGAATATATAATAACATAATGATCACTTGAAAAGCCAGGGTTTTATACTCTTTGTATCTGATGACTAACACACTGGGTTCAAGAAGCACAGAATCTGATCTCCACCTCCTTGTCCTTTCATTGCTACTAAAACAGCACAGCCAACCAGCTAGGGCAGTTGGTCAAATATTTAATACTTTGATGTGTGTGTGTGTGTGTGTGTGTGTGTGTGTGCGCGCGCGCGCGTGCGCATGTGTGTGTAATTTCTTCTGTTTAAAAGCATTTGTTATTTATTAAGCCATTTAATTAAAAATGATTCTGTCAGCTTACTATAAACCTCCTTATTTAATACAAGAAAATAAATAAACTTCGTGGAAGGAGAAAAGTAATAAGAAAAGTCCTGAACCTTTTCAAGTTCTGCCCAAAAATGCCAAAATTATTTTTGATGTTTTTACTTTTTTGGTACTTTATTGAGCATTCAAAATAGTTTAGCATGAAGAGAAATCTTACAGGCATATTCTAAGGGGAAAATAGATGATATTTCTCAGCACTGAACACAGACTGTGAATTTGAGGTCATGTTTTTGTCTAGTTGGCATTTCAGGAATCAGAATTACTGGTTTGACCATATAGGGACAGTTAGTTTTGTCTTGGACCCCAATCATTCTAACCACATGGCTTTCAATATATGCTCTGGACCACAAGGGGGACCATACAGGAGTAACTGAGAAGTTTAGTTTAAATGATTAAAAGAATCCTCTGCATTTTTAGATTCTTCGAACCATCCTCATAGGCAAAGGGGCTGGAATTAACCACTTCGGTACAAGCATCGACTATAGTCAATAGCCACAGATGAACGTGCACAGCTGAGCAATGACTTTAGCAGACAGCTGTGATATGACTTTTCTAATTTTTCATTTATCAAAATAAAATTGTGAACATTTTAAAATAACGTAATGAAAACATATATGTATATCTTTCCTATTCTGATTTACATTACAAGTAAAGCTGCCTGTAAAATAAAACAAGCTTTCAGTGCTTTAAGGCTTTCCTCATCACACAAGAGCAAAACAGACTCGTCGTCAATGCACAGCACAAACTATCGTGCAGACTGTGAGTGCCGGCTGTGGGCAAGGTTTTGCGGCCAGTGAACGCCGTACCAAAGTGGTTAAGGACAGACTCATATCATCACTGGGTAATACAAAGAGCCATGCTGAGAAAGTGGCTAGAATTTAACTTCCAAAGAATGAAAAGAGTTTGCATAACTACCACAAAAAGAAAAGACTAGAATTTTGGAATTGTGTGCTGGACTGTTAGGAAGGCAATCAAGGAAAGCACGAGATAGGTCAAAAAGGGTAGACCTGCCATTATCAGCGGGAGGGATGCGGAAAAGAACTAGAACTCGACTGGCAGAAAGCTATTGAAGCCAATTATGAGTAATTCAGATTTTTAAAATAAAAAAGTAGTGTGTATTTTAGGCATGCCCATTATTTTCTCATAACACTTTCTTCTGGAATAATCTGCTCTGCCTTGGTCAATCAAATTCTTGTTTTTTTGACAGTGTGGATTCCAGGGCAGACAGGAAGTCTGAGTTTGTCAGGTGTTAGCTCTTGGTGCTGTAAAGTCATGTGGAGTAATAATTAGCATTATGGTAACCCAAACCCCGGGCAGGCTAAAGTCACTGGGCAAAAGGAAGTAAGATCCCTGTAGAAGAAAATTCAGAGAATAATAAAGCAAGAGACCATGAGATCTCAGAAAGAGAGAAATACAGAGATAGAGAAGATGACTGCCACTGTATCAATCTTAGTATTCCCTCAATGTTGCGTCCTCTAACACTTCACTATATCCTTCCAGCACATTTTCCTTTATACGAGAAGAGACTGGAGAAATTTCTGTTCCTGAAACCCAACACTGCTTCACACACAGAGAAATGAGAGGGAGACAGACAAAACTTGGAATCAGAAGACCTGGGTTCCAGTCCTGACTCCACGTGACCTTAGCTAGTTACATAACCTCTCCGGTCTGCATGTTCCGGCATCTGTGAACTCAGGATAATAATATACACTCCTCAGTGTGGCTGTAGGGATTAAATGTGAAAAAGGTCTGAAAGTGTGCCTGGCATACAATGAAACCCTCAAAAAAATGGAATAGCTGAAAAAATAATGAATGAATACAGATTTTTTTTTTACTTTACCATAATATTATGTTTAACTAAATAGAATTTTGTGGGAAACACAACTATTCTTTGAGATGCTGCAAATGCAGTGTTACAATAAAGTAGGCAGGTGACAAACAGAAAATCCCTCATCTAATGAGTGGCTTAAGTCCACCAGAATGACATATACAATTAGACTAACACAAAAAGCTGGGGTCAAGATAATCCTGGCTACAGTACAGGGCCATAGGAAAAAAATGGTTTGCCTGAGGTTTTTAACTAGGGTAGAACAGCATGTTAAACTCATTCTGGGGGGCTTTATTTCCTCTCACAACAGAGAGATTGATCATTCATTCATGGTAAACTCTTTTCGCACTCCTCTGTGCAGGAATATAGTGGTAAGGCAGAATAACCATCCCTGACTCATGCCCCAGGGGACAGGCCTGGTCATCACCACGGTCACAGCTGCAGTGGGTGGTGAGAAAATAGCAGGTGTGGAAGATAAGATTTTAGGTCCCCACAACAGCAAGGCAAATAGGGATACATTGTGATTTGGGGGGTGGGGGGTTGGCATTATCTCTTTCCTATTTGGCCAATGATTTGGGAAATGAGATCTCAAGACTCAAGAGTATGTTGAATCACATAACTATTTAAAATGAGAGATTTAACCAAGAAGTTCCATTGTGGAAATAACTCTGGGCCCAAGACACTATGATACAAATTCCTGAAAACTCTTAACCCCAAATAATTTTTACTGCCCTGAATTCTCCAGGAATGACGGTACATTTCTAACATCCAGGTGTGCTGCTGCCAATTTAAACAAGATAAAACAACTTTTGTGGCATTTACAAACACCAGAGGGTGTTCTCCCTAGAGACTCCGTTCCCAGCTCAGAGGACTGCAATCCTAGACTTGGAGCACCATCTTAGATAAGTGAAAGCTGAGCAGATAATTTTGAACCTGATCCATTTGGGAAATTCGATCGGAGTCTGAGAACACCACCTAGGTTGTTCCTGCTCTGTGACTGGGAGCCAATGCACCTGGGCTCTTGCCAGTACTTGCTTTCTGCCCAATCCCCTGATGCATTCTGGGAGGTTTCTGCCCACAAGCAAAACTTTGGCTTGTTTTTCTTCACAGCAACTAATGCCTCAGAAAAAACTCTGGCTTTGCATTTTCTCTGCTGCCTTTAAACCTGTAAAGCTAAATGACACACCCACAACAAAATAAGAATAAATGCTCTTTTTTCCTTTTAAAAATCACCAATGTCTATAAGACCTTTGGTAAACTGGCCCAAAAGTCCAGGTGTGTTCTTTCTCTTTTGTATATGCACATGCACTTTGAGACAAGCAAGCTTATCCCCAGTTGTAGGACAGCTTCAACTTATATTTGTTAGCTGCTTGCAAATTTAGCTTTGTTACTGAAGCATGTATCCCCAGCTGGCTGGTGACCATGGAAAACCAATAAATACTTAAAGAGGTCTCCAATCAGCGAGCAAAGAAGCATAGATTGATACTACGACTTCTGAGTTTTGAGGCTGTCACCAGTAATAGAGTCCAGGCCAATTCACAAAGGACATGCAAAGGGGAAGAGACCAAAAATACACAGAAGGTCAGAACCAGCAAGTCTCTGGATCTTTTGTCCCAGAGGGAGCTGCATTCAAAGGCAGTTAATCCACAAAGCCTGGATACATGTTGCCATCCAGGAATTCTCACTGGGCATTCTGGGCCTTGTTTCTTGTTTCCTTGACTGCTATTTCTTTATTACAAGGCTTACAAACTTGTCCCTTACTATTTTAACTCCCAATCCTAACAGTGACAAAATCTCCCAAGAGACAGCTTGGTTAACACTGTGGAGAAGATCATTAGATACAGATTAAAATTAGGCAGGATGGGGCTGTGAAATATGTATTATATTAACTCAGTAAAGAGAAGGTTGAAAATTCATGTTCTTGTATCATAATTAGAATAACAGTATAATATTCTGGTATCTGTATTTTATTTATAAAATTATGAAACAGGTAAATATTAAGAATTTAATCAGTATGTACTTAATATAAAAAATAAAGGACTCTGAAGAACATATTCCAAATTGCATTATATGGAATGTTACTGTCTTGTGCATTGGTAATGTGTGTTCCATGGGAAAAGAGGAGCTATGGTTAGAAAGGAATGAATTAGATATGTTTTCTTGTTTTGTTTTTTTTTAAAATGTGGGACTTAGCGACACATAATTGTATTGGTATATAGATCTTCATTGTTTTTTATACTTACTTAACCACAGAACCATTGTTGTATGTGTGTGGTATAATTAGATTTTGTATAATTCAGTTTGGAATGTATTCTAATGAAGACATCTCAGGAAATTCTGATTGAAGGAAAAATGCAAAATAGATAAAAATTATTACTAAATCTTGAATAAATTCAATGTTTTAAATTGGTTCAATTATTCAGTCACTTAGAACTTTCTCCATCCAAAACAACATTCCAGGCACGTAAGCCCTATCCCAAGGAATTCAGACACAAGACTCATATGCCAAGCTTGCTCTTCCTGCAGGGCATTTGTACTTCCCAGTATTTTCTCCACTGGCAACACTCTTCTTCATCCTTACTTCATCAGGCTCTCCCCTTCAATGTTGCCAATAAAGAGAAGTCTTTCCCCATAACTTGTCTAAAACAGCACTCCTATCACTGTCTAACTCTGTACCTTGCTTATTTTTTTCAAAACACCCAAAATGATTTTACATAAATATTTATGTATGTTTATTGTCTGTCTACCCTACTGGGACATAGCCCCTTAAAACAGATGTCTGTTTTGTTCCACCTTATATCTTCACACTTAATATAGTACCTGGCATTTAGTAGGTGCTCAATATATGTTTGTTGAATGAATGAATAAGTGAATGAATAAACAGAATTCCATAAAAGTGCCACAGGAGGAGCTAGGGGAATTTAGGTTGAGGCTGCTAAGAAAGGCTTATGGAAAAGATGGTACTTGAGGTTGGCATGGAAGATGGGAAGGTTTTTGACATGGGGCAAATGGGATAAATAGTCTAGGAGAAGAAAAACACTTACATAAAGGCCCAGAAGCAGCCTTGAGAAG